ACTTCCTCCCTAAGCTCAGTCACCAGTGAAAGGAGGTCATTCACTTGTTCACACCGCAGTCAGGTCTCCTCCACAACACTCCCTGAGGCCACCGAAAAGCTCAAACACTCTGGACACAGATGGGTCTGTACAGACACATCCTTTTTGGAGGGCCCGACTTGGTCACTTATACCAGCCACAGCTTTTGACCGTGTAGACACCATTACTGACAAACACCTCAAAAATAACCAGGCAGCAGAAAGACCACAAACAATACAGAGCACTCCTTACCAGCAAGAAAGCTGTCAACCCTGCCTGCTTGACCTGCCTGCGCGAACTGCCTTGTATACTCCCCAGAGACTCACCACAACCCCGTTCGCCACGCTCCGGGTCGCCGTGCTCCCCAGACACCTCTTATAATCAGCCACTCAGCAGCAACTGAGGAAGCTCCACCCTCTGCTCCTCTCTGACTCACAATGCAATCCTTGACCCTTTTGCTGTCAAAGTACTTATACAAACTTCTTTTGTTGTCTTCAACTGTAGTGGCGAAAGCAAGTTCTAGTTGGGCTTTGTTCCTTTTAATCTTCTTCCTACATGACTTTGTGAAGTCCTTACAGTCCTCCCAAGTTACCTGACCCTCCTTCCAGAGATGATGCATTCTCTTTCTTCCCCCCTAACTTCCAAATGAAGATCTCTTTTTAACCACACTGGTCTTTTTCCCATACAACTTGTCTTTCCACATGTGTGGATAGTCTGTTCCTGAATATTTAACAATTCCTTTTTAAAACACATCCAGCCTTCCTGGACTCCTTTGCCCTTCAGAACTGACTTCCAAGGGACTTGGTCAATCAATGTCCTAAAAAGGGCAAGGTCTGATCACCGAAGTCCAAGGCAAAAGTTTTGCTGGTGCCCCTCCTTACTTCACCCAGTACAGAAAACCCTTACAGTCTGTGGTCACTCTGCCCAAGATGTTCACCCACCAGTTTTTCTTAGCCCACAAGCAACAGGGCCCCTCCTCTGTTAGTCTCATTTACCAGTTGTGTTAGTTAGAAAGCTGTCTTCCACACATTCCAGGAACTCCCTTTTCTGCTGTATTTCCAGCAGACATCTGGCAAGTTGAAGTCACCCATGAGCACAAAGGCTGGTGACTGTGATGCCTCTGCCAGCTGCTTGTAGAATGCCTCATCAGCCTGCTCCTGGCTCGTGGTCTCTAAGGGACTCCCACCGTGATGTCTGCCCTGCTGACCTTCCCTGTGATCCTCATCCAGAGGCACTCAACCTTATCATCTGCATCATCAATTTCAATACAATCAAAACACTTCCTAGTGTACAGTGCTACACAACCACCTCTCCTGCTTCGCCTGTCTCTTCTGAAGAGCTTATATCCAGAAATTGCATCATCCCATGATGATGGTCATCCCACCATGCTTCTGTGAGGGTGGCAACATCAAAGCCTTCCTGCTGAACAATGGCTTCCAGCTCCTCCTGCTTGCTGCCCACACTGCGTGTTGGTGTAGATGCACCTCAGCCAAGCCAATGGTTTTGCCTGCATCATAGACCTGCCACCCTAGGTTCATCTCTAGTGATCCTCCCCTTTCTGAGGTGCATTTGACTGGTAAATTTGCCTCAGGGGAGGCAGAGAATGCTCTATCAGTCAATCTCTTCCTCAGATGCTCTAACATCCCTTAATCCTTCCACCCCCACTTTTGAGTTGTACTGCTAAGCAGAGCAGATCACTGACCTACTTATACCCAGGTGTTCTGTTACCCCCTGATGACAATGCCAGGCTCTGGCACTCCCTGAAGCCTGCTTGAGCACTAACACAGATGTCTGAAGCCCAAGTGACTGTGCAAATATTCATCTCTTGTGCATATCAAGTAGCCTTAAACCTGCCACAAGAAAATTAAGGATACTCGAGGTATCTATATATACTTTAAAGACATTGAGTACCAAATGACTGGTCTTATGCTTAAAAGATCCTGTAGAAATACCTGATAGTTTCACATACAAAAGCTTCAAAATTTTAAGTAAGAAGCAGATCCATTCCCACAAACTCAAAGTTATTCACACATCTGTTTAAAGGTTATTCTACTACCTCAGGCTTCAGTATTAGTCTCTTAAGTGTGTTATCAGCCTCAGAAATGAGAAGAAGCTCTAAAGCAACAGTCAACCTCACCCAAAGCTGTTACATAGAAGAATTACAATTTAAAGTGCTTGCTTTCCACCTTTGAAATAAGACTTTCTACTGACCACAAACAAACAAAATCTTATTAATTTCTATTACTGACTTACTAATTCTACTATTCACTTTTCCCCAAATTAAGTACATCCCAAATGGTCACATTTGCTTTTTTGTTTCAAAAAGAGATACTGAAATGCCTTTTTCTTCCTGGTCCATAATACTCAGTATCTTTGACTTTAAAAGGCTGTAGTTTCAGTCTTGAAAAATTCCTGTAAGTGATGCAGTAAAGAGAGAACAAGTCTCCTTTCCCTTTCTATAAAAACATTAGCTAAAATGATGTCTTCCAATTACTGGTTTTAATGACCAGTATTCCCTCGGGGAAAAAATCTTCTGTTTGTTTTTATGGCCCCAAAGGAAATACAGTTCTAATTTAGACTTAAAAAACCCGAAGTAAATCAGAAATTATATAAAGTTTGCCAATCATTCAAAGAAAGTAGTTTGCCAGAAGCCAGTATTTGAAGAAAATGCTTTTTGAGCTTAGTACTATTTAGATAACAGTAACTTCCCTAGGTTTTCTTTTCACACTCTCTAGTCGTGTCAAAGGACGGAAATTTGACTTCCTGCTTCCCTCTGTAGTGGTCAATCTGCAGTCCTTCTGCAGCCCCTTCAGCAGCTCCATTAACTCCCGCTTTTCCAGCTCTGCCTGCTCCAGCTCTTGGCGGTGCTGCCTCTCTGCAGCCATCAGAGACCGCACATCTGACATCAGACGTGACATCTGACTCTGAAATAAAACACAAGTTTACTGCAAGAAACAAACTCTCTTCTAATGATGCTGCAATGAAGTCGAGCTGGCTGCGTGTGTTGGGTGATGGAGTCTTCAGAATAAAAACCACCAAAATTTTTTTTTGGATAGTGCAACAAATGTAAACAATTTGAGACACAATCCAGCATTCACCTTGTGGGATGGTCTTGTTCTAAAGATTCCAATATGTTTTACAAAAACATTTTGTTTGCATATTTTGTTTCTCATGAAGTATGATAAGAAACAGTCAATTTACCTACATGCTGCTTTTATTTTCTGTTTCAAGAATCCAAACAAAATATGGTTGTGGTTCTGTTCAGATACATTCTTCAAGGATTTAACAACAAATCCAGTAAAAATAAAACTGTGAACTATAAATTTTTTAAAACTTTTTAAAAGCTTTAAAAACGATTGCTTTAAAAATAATTTTTCTGTGATATAATAAAAAGAGGATGAATAAAAGGATAAGACAGCCTTGCTTGTTACTTGATGAAGTTTACTGTGAACCTTTCCAACCTTCTGATCACAGTGCAAATACCACTCTTGGCAGTAGGGCTCTGTGTCAGCTCTGGACTAAGCCACTTTGGATAGCAATTAAAAATGGAGCTGAATGTTTAATTACATCCAGTTTGTGAGGCATACTCTACATTTAGACACTGAAATCAGTTTCAGATTGATCTGCTGACAATGTTATGCATGCACAGAACACAGGTGGAGTACCCAGGTGAGCTCCAGTGAACCTGAAGCAGTAAACCACAGGAATACAGAATCCAGCCTGCTTCTCCACAGAGATAACCTGGCAAAGCTTTGATGGTTTTGTTCCCCATACTTAATGCCATTTTCCTCTGTATGAGACCTTATTTACAAAATAAGAAACTGCAACTGGGAAAAGCAAAAAGCTAGACTGTTAAGAGAGGAAAAAAAAATAAAACTGTATTTACCTTTAGTTCTTCAATTTCATTTTGCAGAATACTCTCTTTTTGGACCATATGCCTTCTCTGTGAATCTAACCTCGACTCCATCTCATGTTTTGCCTCCTCCACTCTGCAGATCATTTCTGACCTAAAAAGTTTATTTCTCCTTGTTAAGTCTTGTAAGCAGAGAAAAGAATGATCTTCAAAATCCAGAAAGCCTTCTTACAGCCAAGCAGACTGAACTGATTCCCATCAAGCTCTACAGGATGCCTCTGTAGAGGCATGATTTATTAATTTAATAAGAAAAACAGCATAAAGAAGTGCATTGTGCCCAGGGGCATTAGAGTGCCCATGAGGAGCCTATAGAGGGACAGTCAAATCATACTCCTCAAATAAAATATTCCCAGAGCTCAAGAAGGTGTATTTATGACTTTAAGTGATTTTCTGGTGTTTGCCTACAGTATGTGCTTGCTGAGTGTTATGAAATAAGAAGCAGCCAAGATAAAAAGTCTGAATCCTATAGTACTGCTAAACATGTAAGGAAGTGAGACAGCCTGTGTGTGTGGACATGGTAGGCATGTACAGACACAGTTTAGTGGTGGGCCTGGCAGCACTGGATTAACTGCTGGACTCAATGATCTTAAAGCTCTTTTTCAATCTAAATGATTCCATGGTTCTGTGTGTAACCTTGTTCAGTTTTATGGTGGACACTAAATGACAGTATGCAGTAAACTGTTACAGCCTAGTCACTCACACAGCTCCACAGCCAAAACCAGATGGCACTACATTAACCTTTTGAGCTCAGAAAGCAGGCAGCAGAATCACTTGTGTCTCAATGCATTTAAACCATATTCGAGCCTGACTTAACAGCAGTGTTCAAAAGCACAACACTTAGGAGCTGAAAGATACAAATGGGAAGGAGCATGAGTGGGGGAAAAAACCAAAGTACAACTGGAATATAGTACAAAGGGAAAGCTACAGAAACCTACGTAAGAGGAAAACAATGATGCTGGTAAGAAGAGTCATATTCACTGACTGTTTATCTACCAGAACTTAAAAAAAAATCATAATTAGACCTTCAGTGGTTGAATCTACCTGTACTTGCCAAAATACTTACAGATTTTTATCTTCTCAATCTGTAAAAACATAAACTAAATACAATTCTTAAATAATGTGGCTTCATCTGTATAAGAGGCCAATGGAAAAATTAAATTGCCAGCTTCCATTTTCTTAAATTTTTGTCATTTTAAATAGTAAGCTTGCAATTCTGTTCAACTGCAAGCAATGGTATTTTAAGATTTATGGTAACTTGGAAAAAAACACCCAACAAAAGAATCAAACCAGCAAGAATTTAAAGTCCATGCTGACACATGATAAAGTTCTGGCCCGTTAGCATCAAGTAATCAATGGCCCCTTTAACACATAGCAGAATGCAGTGCTAGTATTTCAAAGTGCTTCATGCAGTGACTTTCAGCCCAGCCCAGCCCAGCCCCGAGAGAAAGAGAAGCTCTGTACCGAAGCAGCTCCAGCTCAGTCCTCAGCTCTGCCACACAGTTGTGCTGCGTGTCCTCGGCGCTGAGGATGGTGAAGCCGCAGCCGTTGGGGCACTCGCGGCTCCGGTACTCGCACACCGCCAGGTGCCCGTCCAGGTTACGCCGCTCGATCTGCACCGTGCAACCTGAGCAGGGGGAGCAAGGCAAGACAGCATCTACAACAAAAGCACTCGCAGTCATTCCAAACAAAATCACTCCAGAAAGGAAGCTGAGAGAAGTGATTTCCTTAGGACATGAAATACAACAGTTACACATCCATAGCTAATCATACAACGCTCACTAAGATACTTATCCATTAACTGAGAACACTGAAAGGCTGCAAGGAGGTATTTTCTGTATTTTCTGTAAAGTTTTCTACTGCTGGTCCGGTATTAAATCAACTTCAGTAATGACAATCCTGATGCCAAGCTAAGACACTAGCAGCTTGCCTGTGCTACCATCATAGATTGCAATGACTGGAATTTATAAAGAATACACATGTGTAAAAAAATATTATGCTATCAAACTTAAAGAAGTAGTAAAGAGAGATGTGGATGAGATGGAATGTAAACTTGTTTTCCAAACAATTTGTTGGGTCTTGTCACTAATGTACTAGACCATAATAAGTTAGAACATTTATTTATGAACATTTAATAACTCATACAAAGATAGAAATATTTCCACAGAAATTCTGGGATACAAACTTTGCAGTTCTGTAGGGATTAAAAGTAAAGTGTAAAGAATCAAAAATAAGCACTATATAAATTATTGCTATATCCAACTCTCTAAACTTGAAGTTTGTAGTCTCAACTTATGAAGTCAAACTTAGGAAGTTTGTAGTTTAATTACTGAGACTGACTTTGATGAAGTACACACTTGCATTTAATTCAAAGAGAATAATGCATTGATGCAAAGAGAATATCAACTTAGGAAAACTGAAGCAATGGAGTATTGAAACTTCCCAATAAACCAAGCCAGAAAATGACAATTGAGTTCTCTAGAAGAGCTTTACTAATAAATGTAATGATTTGTAATTAAGGTACTCAAAATACACTCCATGTATTTTTGGAGAAGAGTTGGAGCAATGTAAGAGCCTTCACACCCCAAACACCAGTGCAGTGTAAAAACATAAATCTGTAAAACACAGTAAAATACATAAATCTGTAAAACACTACTGTTTCTGTAGGAAGTAGAACAGGTGAATCAATTATCTGCAGAAGTCACTTATAATAACTTTTAAAATTATAAGAGAAAAATTATAACTTCTAGCAGAGCAATTCTATACCTTCATCATCTCATAATTAATTACAATGGCAGCCCTTAGCATCATTAATTAGATTTTATCTTTATCTAGGAACAGACAACATTTCAAATGAATTCAACTGGGAAATTTTAACAGTATGTTCCTTTTTAGAGGTATGTTTCTTTCTCAGGAGGTGTAGTTTTGCTTTAAATAAAAATCTCAACATGAACAATTCTAACTAGAGTTTAGCTTAGAGTAATTCTTATTTCCAAGATATGTTCTTGTTAATGCTATGTCACAGAGCTGACAGCTTCACGTGCACCAGGCAATCAGGTATTTTATAAATAAATTATGATCCCCAGGTCTTCTGCAGGGGCTACTGCATTCATTCAAACATCAAAACATGAAGTCAGAATTGGAAACCAAACTCATAATTTGACAGAAAACAAAACTAATGCACTACTACATTTTCATACATTTGAAGTTCATCATATTCATTTTGGTTAGTTTGTGGATAAGAAACAGTTGCTAATCATCATGACTGCCATAAACTGGTACTATATTTTGTTCAAAAACACTGCTGTAGGGCAGATCATGCCAAAGCTTTGAATTTCTGTTAGGAAATAATGGCCATTATTGCAGTTCTGTTGACAGGAAGATGACAAACGTGTTTGTTTAATATAAAGGATTCAACTTTGAATGTTACTCACCAGCATTGGAGCAGGGTATCTGACTGTACTCACACTCCCTTTCATGCCTGTCTATAGACTCCAGAGAACAAACCATTTCACAGCCATACTCTCTGTTTCTGCAATGCAGCTGAAGACGGTTTAAATCATTTTTCATATATCTACATGCAAAGAAAAGAATTTGTTCTTAAACCTGGGAACATTATTGAAAAATTTATATTTTCAACTTTTGGGAAAAGAAAGTAAGATTCTAATCTCCATTAGGAAAAATTGTGAGTAACTAGCTGAATTTATTTACTTTCTTAAGAATTCAAGTGACAATATCAAGAAAAAACAGCTTGAAAGAAAGAATGAAATATTCAGTCTCCAAATTTAAATGTGCAAATGAAATCTTTACTTTTGAATAATTTTTAATTGTGACCTTTCACTGGCTCAGCAGATATTATCAATAACAAACACCAGGGCTACTCATTTGCTATTTAAGTTCTGTGTTTCTAAACAGGCCAGACTAAAGGACTACAGTGGGTACAGACAAAACAATCTAAAAATTAAACTCTAGTACTCTGTCTACACTATAGCTAACTTCCAGATAGTAAAATCTCCTGAATGAAAAATTATGTTATGAGTACTAACAACGTTAAATTTACTGTAGCTGGAGACTATAAATACATAACTGTTAATCTGAGCAAGATTAGATAATGCAGATGTTAACCAGCAGGCAGCATCTACTGTTGAAACTGTTTTGTTCTGACAGTAGGAGGAATTACAGTTTAAAATAGAACAGTTTGTTTGGGGAAGACCAACAACAATCATATGGTCCAACTGCCTGACCAGTTATAGAAGGCACTAGTGAGAACAGCCCACTTTACACAACAAGGTGGTTCACAACAGACATTCCTATGTCTAAAGATCTTTTTTAAAAAGGATTTGAAGGTCATAAATTTGGTTAATATCTCCAGGAATTGTTAATTAGAAACACTACTATAGCACCTAACTAAGTCTGAAAAGAAAAGAGATACAGAGTGTGTACTGACTGCCATCAAGAGTCGCTTTGCTTGCTTTCTCTGAAATCAAGTATGGAAAAATTTTGGTGCTGTAAAGGACATTCAGAATAATATCCAGACAGGCATCTGGAATCAACATTCAAGATATAAAAAGGTAGAGAACAAACTAAGTGTCCTTTCAGCTTTGAAATCCTAACACCCTAACAGTTATAATAAATAGAAAATGCTAATGCTTTCCTGTAAGTAGTTGGTGTCTGCCACAGGCATACTGGATAAAGACAGCCTGAGCAACAGCATTGACAGGAGATGAAGCTGTGCAAGCAAAACTGAGAAATCCTAAATTCATGTAATTTCAACACACAGCAAGATTACTGGGTACCTGTAGAGAGGTCGTAGCAAAGACACATCAATGACTTGTCTGTCCTCAGGGCAGTTGCTGTGATGAACAAGCCAGCCATGGATGCAGGCAGTGCAGAAAGCGTGCTCGCAGGGAGCCTGCAGCGGATCCTCCAACACGTCTCGGCAGATGGAGCACAGCAGCCCCTCATTGACATAGCCCACGAAGCGCTCAATGTCGTAACCCATGCTCCCCACACCTTCAACCTGCTCAAAAACCCCAAGCACACAGAAATAAAGCAATCTTTGGGCTGAATCTCTATGGGTAGATCCACAAAGAGGCCTGACAGCAATTCTAAAACATGGAGACCATACAGTGAATAAAGAAGTGAATGTGTGAATGCAAACAAACATTTACACACTTTAGAGACTTTCAGATTCAAGGGAATTTGAGAATTGTACTGCTGGATGTCAGAATCACAATTTTCTATCAAGAAATTCTGAACTCTGAAAGCAAAGACTTTGACACAGTGGAGCTGCACTTCTTCTGAATGCTGTTATTGAACATAACTGTAGCAGCCACTCTGAAACATACAGCTTTTTTTTAACATGAATTCTACCTGAAGCAGAAACATCACACAAGTTCAAAAGCAAATGTTTGCTTTCCATTTTAACATCTTTCATATAATGCCTAACAAACTTACAAAATGGTGTTCTTACCAACAATAGCTGTGGCACTTTCAGCTAGCAAATCCTGGATTCATGAACTGCACAACACTAAAGATGTTGTTTTCATACTGAAAAAAAGACTCTCTAGCCACTGTAGCCCTCCATTTCAGAGGAACAGCATGAAATCTCCACATGCTTAACGACATACTTAATATTCAGGAAGTAAAAGAAATCAAAACTGCAGCTAACCCTGAAATCATGAAGAGCTACTGTCTTTTCCTACATGATCTATTTTATAAAACTGAGAAGCTTTTGAATGGATTTGAAAGCTTTGTGAAGAAGAACTAATGGGCAGTCTGCCTTCATCTAAATCCTATAATGAAAAACCTCGTGAAATTTGGCAAGACTCCACAGAACTTGCTTAAAAGAATAAGTTTTAGGCTCCACATTGCTCCTTGACATATAAAGTTACTTTTGTAAACCCACTGAGACTCATGAAAGAGGTTTTCATTAGTTATGAGATTTTCTAAATAAAATAGAAAAGGAAGATATCTTACCTTTGCAGATTTTACTACATATATATGTAGTTTGCCCAAATACTTCAGAAACAGTTTTCTGACCAGTAAGGCATGTAATGCTTTCTTCAGTTTCTCTTCACTGCTTTATTATGCCTATGAGAAAAATTACAAAGAGTAAGGCTCAGTAGTGTTTCCTAAGTTACTGAGTCCTATGCCTAACAAGCCAGCTACTGAATAGATGCTGTCCTAACAGCCCATTAAAACCAAGTTTTCCAAAGCAGAAAACCTACAATTCAACACAGGAGAATTGACTGGGTTAGGGTGAAAATAATCATCAGTCTCTGTTTCAATTACTACTGATGCAGATATTTATCAAAAAAACTGAACACCCTGCTCATGATCAATTTTGAAGCCAGTTTTGTTTGTAAGACTGAAGATAACAGAATTAGTATTATTGAAAAGCAGCAACTGAAATCTGATAAAATTATATTCCTGAAAAAGACAGAAGTTCCTTATTGACCTGTCCTAATCCAGTCATGACAGGCAGTTCATTTTTAAAGCAAAACTATTACAGTCAAGTTTGTTGTATTGGCAAATATCATTGCTGTGTAGCAGAACTAGAGTTGCTCACTTAAAACATCATAAAAGATGCCATTACTGAACCATTTAAGTTATGCTAGATCTAATCTGTATATGTAAACTGCATATACAGATTAGATAATATGAACTGTAAGCCTAACACATTGATTTGGTTTGGTGAATCCCAGAGGATTCTGCTTTTAGAAAACTTTCAAGGACAGGTAAGAGAAAAACTAAGCACTTTTACTGTCCTAGAGTTCTACTCTACTGTTCTAGTGGAATTGTGGATGCTGTGAGCTACATTTTGCACAAACACTACTAGTCCCTGAGGATCAAGTCTTCAAGACACTCTTCAGCATATTTTAGCAAGTTTGAAGACTAACAGAATGCAAGAAAGAGTATTTTTATCAAATGGGGAACTAAAAAACTTCATTTGTGCTTAACAAGAAATGAAGTGCAACAGCAACAAAAAATATATATATTATATACATATGCATCAGTATATAAATATATGTGGATGTATAATATAAAACTCCAGCCAAACTGAAGTTCAAATGAAGAATGGATGGGAACTTTGAGGCAAAAAATACAATCAAGGGGGATTCTTCAGGACATTTTGAAGACTCATGTTGGAGCAGCAAAACACAGCACTGGAACCCTTGTGGCCATGGCTCTGGGACCTATGCCAGCAGCTGTTACTGAAGTCCCAGACCTCTTCCAGTAGAAGTTTCCTGACCTGAATAATCAGAGATGTTTTATTTTCTTATCAACTTCAAGAGATGCACCTTAGTCAAGAGGTAAGCAGAGGCAGAGCATATGATGAATGTCATGCACTTTAGCAGTACAGATCACTTTACCCAGTATCTTTACCACAAAATGAGATAATTTTCAGCTTCTGCTTATCCCCAGAAACTTCTAACTTCTCCATTTGGCCTCAAACTTATTTTCCCAATTGTACTGCAATTCACCAATTGTCACACAACTTTTTTGATTGCACCTAGAAATTATTTTGTTGAGAGATGTCAGTTGCTTAGCTTAAGCAAGTAACTTCTAAATAGAGTAAGTCACATAGAATTATAATACTACTACTAATAACAATACTGTGTGATTTAGAATGCTGTTTGCTTATATCTACTTGCTTAGCATATGTAGCTTGGGTTGGTGGAAGCCTTAGGCTGAAAGCTGTGGACTTTTGCCTGGACATGCTTTTGGCTGGAACTGAGTTAATTTCCTTAGCAATTTTCCCGTAGCTGCTACAGAGCTGTGCTTTGCCTTTAGAATGAGAAGAATGCTGCTGACACACCGATGTTTTAGTGGTTGCTAAGTAATGTTTATCCTGAGCCCAGGACTTTATTTTAGTTTCCCATGCTCTACCGGGGAGCAGGTGCACAAGCAGCATAAAGGAGGAGATAAGGAGCTCATGGTCATCAGCAGAAGCTGCAGCTCGAGATAAGAACCATTAATAGCCTGCATGGACATGGAGAGAGAGCCCAAAAAGCTGTTAGAAGACCCCAGACCAAAAATCACCACTGCATGACAAGGGCCGTGTGAAGATCATGTAGGGGAGGGTGCATAAATTGTAACGGCATCATTGTGCAGAGATTTCTTTGTTTGGGAGAGAAAGCACACAAACTCTGACATGCTATTTGCCTCTTACTGTTTCATATGTTTTATTTTTCCCTGCAGTTCTGGACAAGCAAAAATCTCCTCCAGACTTCAGAGGTATCAAGTGATTTTTCAACAGTTGTCATCCCACACGGTTTGCCAGGCAGATGCACATCCAAAACCAGCCCTGAGACTTCACTGCCCTCAAACAGAGATTTGGTGTGGGTATGGTAACAGGGAGAATACAGGTGGGATGTACCTCCCAACAGCATCATCACATAGCATGCTAAATGCCTGGCACTAACCAAAGCTATTTCACTGTGAAAGTCAGGGCACTGAAATGAAATTAGTGACCTTCATTTTTGCATCTGCAGTAGCTTCAGATTTTTTAAAAATGCTTCTTTTTCATGTGACAAAACAAAGCAAAACTGTTTGAAAGTCTGGAGTGAACCATGCCAGAACTACAGATGTGCATGGCTAAGAGAGCATTTTCAGAAATGCTGCAGGAACAGAGTCCGTGCAGGGCCCAGGGATAGGTGACACTGAGATATCACATTTCTTCAGTCTTTATTTTCACAACTTCTGCTATACAGACCCAATATTTCAGTGTGTTTTTTGGCACTCTGACACTGTAAGCCACTTCAAGCCAGCATCAGTGCCCAAAGGGGCAGACTCACCCCTTCAGCTGTGACTGTACAAGGCACTCGATGCATCACTCTCAGTAACTGACTTGTTTTAAGACTGAATTGGGGAAAAAAAATTAACTTTAGCAGTTTTCTTATAGTAGTCCAAGCCTATCTATCCACAAATAAATGTGCTCCCCACCTCCCTCCACCCCCTCCTTTGAATCAGTGAGAACATTTAATTTGCCCTTTACCTGAACTGGCCCATGCAACTCACCATACAGACAACCATACCCGGACTTGGTTAGTTAGGCTAGAATTTCTTGTAGATGGCTCAGCAAAAGCTCTAGGGACTGTGTAAGCAGGGCATGACCAGGCATAAGAAATTGCAGCCAGGGCAGAAAGGGAAGAAAGACAGACAGCAGCAGTCAAGGATGCTGAGGGATGCTACTCCCTCAGCTCAGCTCCCCAGACTGGTACACTGGGGAGCTGGATGAACATTTGTGTAAGAGAAAAGGTACAGAGGAGGGTAAGAATAAATGAACAGCAACACCACCTTACACTGATGCAAACAATGGATTTTTTTTTTTTCAAAAAAAGCTTATATAAAAATTATGAGCCAATTTAAGGCCTGTACCAGGATCTACATAACTACTATAGGTATTCTGTCAAAGAACATTTTTGTACAACACACGCTGTCCTGCAAAGCCTACTCAGAACAATGCCATCCATGACATGCCTGGCACAGACCTGAGTCCAGAGAAGGGCAATGGAGTTGGTGAAGGATCTGGAGCACAAGTCCTATGAGGTGCGGCTGAGGGAGTTGGGGGTTGTTTAGCCTGGAGAAAAAGAGGCTCAGCGGGGACTTTATGGGTCACCTGAAAGGAGACTGTAGCCAGGTGAGGGCTGGTACCTTCTCCCAGGCAGCCAGTGATAGGATGAGAGGCCAGCGCCTCAGGCTGTGCCGAGGGCTGGGATTCAGGTTGGACAGCAGGAAGAATTTTTTCACAGAAAGGGTGGTCAGCCATTGGAATGGGCTTGGTGATCCTAGAGGTCTTTTCCAACCTAATTAATTCTGTGCCCACCTTCGGTCACAGGTGCAGGGCCGGGCTCTGCGGCCCCGAGCCAAGCCCAGGGTCAGAGGAGCTCTCTCCCCCCGGATTTCGGTACAGCTAACAGGGGAAAGGCCTCCCGGTTCGGCCCGGCAAGGCGCTTCAGGGACGGTCACAGAGCACACAGCTGGCCGGGAAACACCTGGAGGAGCGACCCGACACCAAGACAGAGCACCTGCGCTGCCTCGGGCAGCGGCAAACACCCTTACAGCTGCACACGCCCTTCCCGCTCCTTTCCATATACGCCGCGGATGCCGCCGCCGGCCCGG